GAGTGCATATGGAGCTGGCTTTAAAAAAGTGTGGGGGGAAAAAACACACACACACACACACACACACACAAATAATTTTGTCTTTTGCAAAAACATTCACTCTTGATGCATATACAGCATAAATATGTATTCCATGTCTCAGTCACAAAAAGCTATTTCTCTGTCTATTTTCACTTTTATTTCTCCCCTGCCAACAGCATAGCAGAAGAGACTGGAGCTGCAGCATGTGTTCCTGCACCAAGAGAAACTGGGGGCTCAGCGTCCAGGGGCCAGTTTCCCTCGGGACTCTTCCAAATGATTCTGGTGACCTGTTGCTCCACTCGGCGGTTGGCGTGCGCTCCAGCAGGCCGTGGTGAGAGGTCAGGGGTCGTTTGAAGCAACATGGTGTCAATACATGACCTTCTGACAGGATCAAACAGCAAATTAACTCTCTGAACAAGCTCATGTTTTGAAATGACCTCAAGCACAATTATTCATGGTTGTATAGTTTGTGAATTTAACGTCCTACTACAAAATGACAACATTTCGTTTTTCATCTTACATCTCAGAAAATATACAAATTCTTGCTAAATTTTGTTTTAGAGGCATACAGTGGGAGAAACACCACCTCCAAGAAATTACTGTAGTTTTATGGATGCCTTTTTTTCTCTTTACCAAGTCAAATCCAGTGGACTGGGGATCAGTGGTGGGAGAAGTATATAGAACATTTACTTAAATAAAAGTACTAATACCACATTGTGAACACACTCCACTACAAGCAAAAAGGTCTACTTAAGTAATGTTTTGAATAAGAATGTGTTGGTATTATCAGCATAATAAGTGCATTAAAAGGGTCGCTGTCAGTGTTTTACTGTTACATATGATGTTGTTGAATTAATATTACTGTTGCATTAATGTGTATGATGCATGTTTAATAAGGTTGAGCTATTTGGGGGGTTGATAGTTTGTTTAGCTGAAGAAGCAAGAGAATTTTCTCAACCCATAAAGGAACACTTCATCCTTCAGCTTATCAGAAAAAAATCTCAATCACCAAATCTGGAGATACATGGTTTTCACTGGAGAAAAAAGTGGACTAGTAGTGGAGTAGAAGTATGCGATTGCAAAGAATGGAAATAGTACCTCAAATTTGTACTTTAAATACAACACCTGAGTGAATGTACTTAGTTATATTCCACCACAGCTGGGGATCACTGTGTAAACAATTTAAAATGAACAAACAAACCAAAGATATATGGACAGATGGGACATCATTGTTGAAATGTCCCTTATACGTCACACATCTCTGTGTTTGTTGCTGTGTGCATGGCTTTAAAATATTTTGAAACATTTTTCTTTTATCTCCCAAAAAATCACTATACATAAACTGCATGTATATCAGTATCACCAGAACTGATCTGTAAGGAAAGTATTCAAAACCATGTAGAAACCCTTCATCGTCTTTGAGATACAAGCTATCTTACAGGCTTAAAATACATTTCTCCCTTTATCCATAGTAATGTTCAGAATTTGCCACATTCAGTTTTTACATTTATTGAAAACAGCGCAGAGTTACATTGTCTTAATTAGGAACATAGGCTGGCTTTACTACAACGTGACGGAGGACCTGGAGGTTGAAGTGCTCCGTGAATGCAATGTGCATCATCAGCCTAATAAAATATAACACAGAAAATTAAGTCTGTTGGACATGAGGCACGCAAAACAACAGGATCCCTGAAGCAAAATGATACAGGTTTCCGTTGTGAGTGTGTGTGTATGCGTGCGGATATGTGTGTGTTATAAGTGCATTTGCTGGAGTGTAGAACCACATAGAAAGCAATTATAGAAATATGTTTGTTACTGTATTAACTCAAAGGAGAAAAATGCCGCCAAGAAAATGTGATGTAGGCTGGAGCTCCTTTGTCCTAGTTTGAGCACCACATTCACCAAAGTGCATCAAAGTGTCAGCAATTCAAACATGAAAAATGGATGAAGACAATGGTGCATTTCTCACAATTTTTCTAATAAACTGTCAATCAAACTGCACCATGAATGACAGTAATATCATATGATGCAGCATTCCATATCAAAGATCTCATCGATGCTCGTTCCCCCTTTGGCTCAATCTGAGGCCTGTCCTCCCCTCTTATTATCATCATCATCATTCGGACATGAAAGGAGAGAAACAAGTGCTGCACCATTGCCAAGGAGAAACCTTGATCTTGAGGCATTTGCATTCGCCACCTAGCTCCTCTGGATGCATAAACGTGTTACCAAGGTGCGCTCTGATTGGATGGCACTGAAAAGCTGGCATTCTGCTAATGCTCAAAGCAAGCAGGCACTCCGCCCTCCCCTTCCATGCACAGTCACACTCATTTGGTGGCACTAGGGGGCAGTCCACTCTGTTGGTTGTTATTGTGAAGGAGATATCAACAGTAGAATTTAGAAGGAAGAGAAATAGGACATGACCAGTTTTAAAAAAGAAAGAAGATAATATAATATATAAATGAATATATAATTTATTAATTTATGTGGATTCTTGGAAAAATCTATTAGGTTTCTGTGAGCTCAATGTCACCATGAAAGGCATTAAGCTGTATACTGTAGTACTGCTTTTGCTAATTCAAAAGCACCCATCTTTTTTTCAACAGTAAGCACAGATTTTATTGTAAATCATGGATTACATATACAAGGCACAGAAATTTGAATTTCTGAAATTTTGTCTTGGAGGGTAAACATTCCTCTCCGGAGCTTAAAGAGAAAGTTAAGTGCATCTTAACGATACAATATGAAATAACAGATATTAATGTATCTGGTAGCTTCTTGTCTTGGATGCACCTTTTGTTTTTTGAGAGAATGGTAAGCTGCTCTCTCATCACAATACATATCAGTTTAATTCTCAATAATGTTTAAAAAGTCCGAGATGTATTAGGAATAATAACATTAAATATAATCTATATTAATGTCACTGTTGGTTTACATCAGGCGTCAAAGAGAAGCAAAATACTTTGACACACACACACACTTTTAAAGGAGCTATACTGTAGCACTGTGTCTGTGTATAGCGTCTATCAGGAGGCTGCTGATTAAAGGCCTGCAACAATGAAGCATGGAAACCCCAGAGGAACAATGTTCATCTGGATATGAATTAATGTAAGAGCAGTGGTGATTACCATGAGGGCAGTCAGCCATTTCATATTTCTAGCATGAGGCAGTGGACCTCAAATTTTAACCATGACGAGATTTAAATGTACTTAGCTTGGTGAGAATCTTTTTTTCTCCCTCGCCCTTCTTTGCACTTGTAACTGGTGCACGTTTAACTCAATTAGGTCATAATACACAGACAGCTTTAGGGGAACAATATTTCCCATATGCAGCGATGTGAATTATGAATGGGTCAGAATCAGTGTGTGTCAGTGGGATAACATGGACAAAAGTAAAATAAAATCTGTCCTCCACAATGGCTTCGTCATCTTAATGCTCCTGATCAACCGATACAGAGAAACCTACATTCGTATAATACTGGATGATACACTTGACTGTGTACATTTGACATGATTCAAAAAAAAAAATCTCCACTTGTGTCCTCTATTTTTCCTCATTAAAAATAACCTTCTGTCTTATATCAATACAATGTTATGGTCTTAATTTCTCTGAGCATTTCCCAAATGCAGCTTCAATACATTGCCAATTGTTCTTGTATTGTACTACCTATAAAAACCTGCACTTTTAGCAAAATTATCAATAAAGCTGTTGTTTCAATTTTGAATTGTGTCAATTTGTTTATGCTGCTTTGTGGAATTTTTTTTAAACTATTTTGAATATGTGCTAGATTTAATGCCAGGTTTTCAAATGCCCACTTGCTTGCGGCAGCTAAAATAGCTTAAATGTCTGTGCTACCATCTCAGCTGTTGTCATGGTAATCTAAAGATGATAATTGCATGTATTATATTAAAGGTGATTGCTACATGCTGATCTCAGTCAACCAATCTTTAGTAATTCAGCAGGGGACCTTTCTTGTTTTTCTGATCTTTGTCAAAAATGTGGAGGTAAAGAAAGGATGTAAAGAAAAGTAAGACATGTAAAAACAGGTCAGGAGATTGAGCAATGTAAAGCACTCTCTTTCAGGCCATTCACGATACAAAGTCAGGTCAGGCACAATGTATGGATGCTGCTTCTCACAGTCAACAGAAGGGTGGTATCACCATTCTATGTCAGACAGAAAGCTCACTATTATAGTGTAACCCCTTCAGAAGTGTCTCAGTTCTTCAGGCTATGTTGGGGACAGAAGAGTGGAGGTCTCCGCTCCCCTTCCTGAAGCGGAGCTCCACGCCACTCTACGGAGAGAGAGAGCGCGGTGAATAGGCCCCACTCAAGAGGAATAAAAGGGACCTCTCCACTGGTTTGTTTTGGAAGCTGTCTTATTGATCTGTCTACCTATGAATGAATGCATTGGCCCAGTTTTCCCGCTCATGTGGACAATGGCACTCAAGGCCTGCATTAACTGTTATTCCCAGAGAATGGCGAGCATCAAGAGGAGTTGGGGAGCGTTTGTCATTTCATCCCTTTATCTCCTCCACTAATCTTTCCCACAAGAATAGAGAAGCCAAACTAAGAAAAGCAAATCGATGGTTGCTGACTGCCTTAAATCAATTCCAGTTTGCACAAGGACATATTTCAAGTAGAGTGATGCTGAAACACAACTACAATCTTATTGAGCACCATCATTCAGTCTATTATGACCAGTAAAAAAAAAAAAAAAAAAAAAAAGAGAAGAAAGATACAATTTCAAATCTTGCCTGAGACCTTGAAGACCCATAAAGGGGCCACTGTAAATGCAGAGAAAAGCTTGAAAGAGGACCTTAATGTACGGAATAAAGCACTAAGGATCTGTGTGGAACTGTTTTGTGGGGTCCAACATGTGAACTGAAGTAGGGAATGCCATAGTTTCCTTCAAGTACGAATTCCATCACAAGGACATAAAATGCAGCTTTGCAGTAAAAGCCAAAAAAGATACATAAAAGACCACTTTACATTATTTATTATTTAACAGTGTTCCACACTCTGACTCTGTTTCGAATCAGCCAAATCGTCTTCATTCCTGTAAAAATAAAACTCATATTTGCCTGTTGGATGTTTCCATGTGTTTTAGTACAGAACTAGCTAAAACAAGAGAACAATTTAAAACACAGCACTCCAAAAATGTACTTTTTGTTTTCAATCATATTTCAAGAACTTTTACTCCTGTTGGCATGATTTGGAAGAAAGGAGAGAGAGATTCAACAAAGAGCGACAGACCGAGACAACAAACCAACAATTTTAAAAACGAGTCTTTGGTGAGGCATGATATCTGAAGTTGTTGGTCATTCTCTTATATGGGCCAATAGCAATAGTGACTTGCTGTCATTGTGGTTTATTGACTTACAAAACTCAAAGTTATTAATTCAGCTTTTCTCTTTGGTCATCTGCAGCACTGAATGACAGTGACCAAGAAACCCATGTGATATTTCTACTTCCTAGGGCTATAAGCTGACACAATTATGAGCACTTCTTTCAACACTAAAAACATATGCTTCTAGAAATTGCTTTGAATTTACCAGAAGACTATACAACATACACATACCTAAAGTGCCAAACGCATCTACAGTTTTGTAAATGTACCTGTTAGGAAGTCGAGCCAATTAAGCATAAAGATAAAAAGAACATAATTTATTTAAGACAAAATCTAAGCAGAAATAAATACATGACAACAATGTGTGTAATTTACTTTGTGAACCCAACAATGAATAATAAAAACACTTTCAGCGTTAACAAACAGAAGAAACAATGCCTCATCAGGCCACTGAATTCTGAAAGTATACCAACTTCTTAGACCAGACCATTAACAAGAAGTAATCTGTAACTGATTTGTCAAAGAATTTCAAAACTGACTTGAAGTCTTCATGTACTCCAATAACAAATGAAGTGTTTTGCTGTTAAATTAGAAATGTTTACAGGCCTCAACATGTAATAAATACAAAACCAAAAGATCAATCAATAACAATAGTCATTAGGACAAATTAGATTTAGATTTAAAGGTAGATTTAACAGGTGGTAGTAGATAATTAAAAAGGTAAGGAAGTGCAGGGGGTGGGGGATGTTAAATCAATTAACCACACAAATTATGTTCATGAAAACAATCTAGAAATTAGGCAGGACTGATACATTCATTATGTGCATATTCCCCATCATTTAAAAACAGACAAAAACTGAGCTAAGACCTTCAACATCAGGAGCTTACAAATGTGATATGGTGCTGCTCGACTCTGTAAAATGTGTCCTGAACAAAAAACAGTGCTGGAATTCAGAAATTACAGCTGTATGATATATTAAATGTAATGACAACATGAAATGCCAGGGAATCACAGGATTGTGTGATCTGTAATTGATCTCGCACCATGTACCCTACATTCCTGAATAGAGTGGACAATCATTGGCCCAGTGCTTTATCAGCACAATGACTGTTTGTGCGTACATTTACCCACCAAAACTACAGTATGCGAATACACTGTAAATACCGTTATATCCTGTTGTGAACCAGAGCTTGTGATTCCCTCCTAATCAAGATGGAACTACAAAAAACAGAAGGCCACAGAGTTGCAATTTCAAACACTAGCAGACACCAAATCTACAGACATTGGGACAGGGGAACATACTCACTTGGCACCATTGAAAAAAAAAACCAACTATTTGATCCATTACAAAAAAATTAAATAAAAACAATAGATTGTTATAGATGGGTAAAAAGGAAAGCAGAACATGGTGGTAGCTTATCAACAGTTGTTGAAATCATCTCCTCATCACAATGCCCTTTCAGGTTACAGCTGACCTACAGCAGAGATCCTGTACATACAGACAGACACATGGACACAAGCACATATCTTGACTGAGCCCTCAGTGCGGTCCTGCCTTTAAAATAATCACTACCGCGCAACCCCCCCCCCCAACACTCAAATTCTCTCATTGCTTCTAAAATGGCTCAGTTAAAACCAGGGAGGTTACAATGCAAATTGAACATCACAAATCTGTTGGAACGCCTTTCATTTAAAAACACAAGTTTGTCCTCTATGGCAGTGTGATGTTTATGGCAAGTTCAACTGCACACATTTTAAATACAACAGCTTCAAGTCAATAAGATGTCTACCCACGTGTTTAGCATCTCCTCTTCCTCCTCAACTCTTCTGCAGTTGTCCACTCTCCAACTCTGGTGAGCCCACAGCTATACCCAACCAGATATTCTGGCAATATCCATAGGCAGCCCCACATGCTCTTCTAACAAACAGTGACACATTGGTCCTTGCTACGAAATTTTAAGACTCTCTCAGACTCGTCTGTGGTCCGTGGTCAACGGAATTTAGACCTATAAGTGAAACAAGCTATCTTGTTTGAATACACATATTTTTAAGGTTTGATCACAAGACAAACATGGGCACACGTATAACAGTTGTCAGTGTTATACAAGGAAAAAATTAGTTAGTGTGATTTTAGGCTAATATGAAGTCACACATTAGCATCCATGATATTATATGAAGCTAAATGTAGCTTCATGTATGTATCACTGTGTGAAATTGGATCCATCAGGGACTGTGATACAAACTGGAATATAGGCTGTTGCATGACTCTTACAGTAATGTCAAGGCCATGCACATACATACTTAAACCTAACAGCATGTATGCAGTCATGCAGAGCAACCCCAGAAGTTTTACCTGGATAAGTGTGATGTAATTCATTGTCAATACTAGTTTAAAAGGAGCCTTAGTGACCACTGAAGACAGAGGAAATTTAAACAGGAGGACAACAGTCTGAAATCTGACTCCTATTGACATGCATGAAGTCTCAAGAAGCTACCCTTTGAGCTTTCTAAAATAAAAGACATCATGAACCTGAAGATGTTGATGGATGAAACTCTTGTGATCAGGTGCATTAACATTAAACTCTCCTCACTGGCTTCTCTAAAACTGGTGGAGCTGAGCAGAAGGGCCACACTATGTTTCACCATGTAAAATAAATTGTAATGAGCCTCTGAGATAGTCTTTCACCTCATGTCATTCAAATTTCATACAGCAAACTGGACCGAATTGTCATTACTATGCCAACACACCACTAACACGGATTACTATTCTTCAAACTCATACTTTAGTCAATCTGTTTTTAAGGTTTATAAATCTTTCTCTCCAAATTAAAAAGGTAGTTGTAGTAGTAGTAAAAACAATGACAAGAGTTCACAGAGTCATCTGTGGAGGAAGCACTGGAAGTTGAACCAGGAGCTCTAACGATATGGTCAGTCATTGTGACGTGGTTGGAGGGAGGGAGGGAGTGAGTGATTGAGAGTCATGGAGCAGAATATGCTTCTGTTACCCCCACTCAGTCCTTTCTGATCAAGTCGAACTGCTGGGTTTGCAACGCTATGCCGCCATGAGATACTGATGGTAGAAGAGGCCAAAAAGAGAGGTGGAGAAGAGGCAGGCAGCAATCCACCAAGTAAAGAAGGAAAAGAGGCCCCGGAACAGCAAGGGGCTGAAGACAGTCCGCAAGCCTCCCAGGGCCACTGACAGCTGGGCTACTGACGCCCGGGCTCCTGTTTCTACCACTGAAGCTGGCGTTGGGGCTGCCCCCATCACAGAGTCAGAGTTCATTTCATGGGTACAAGGCAGGTCTTCTTCAGGATAGACCCACCAGGAGTGTCCACCTGTTATTAAATAAGGCAAAAGAAAAAAGATAGCTTCAACTTTTAGAAAGATGAGACATATTCTAAACTGGAAAGTCATCGAGCAGTGCATGACTCACCTAAGGTTTTTAGCAGCAAAGTTGTATGCAACAGCATCACCAGCGGTGCAACATACTGTAGTGCAATTACACACAAGTAGTAAAAAACACGTGCAACCTGTGAGAAATTGGAGAAGAAGTCAATTACTATGGGCTTTTACACAAATTGTTCAATAAAGCTTCTTTTAAGACCTGGGAGTTTTATTAACACCAAACTAATAGCTGCTTTTTATTTCTCTGAAACAATCTCCTCAAACATTCTCTAACGTAGGGACACAGCCTAGTGACCACTATCAGTTTTAATAATGTTATGTTATTAGACAAATGACATTTTTACTGATGTGTCAGTTCATATAAATAATCACATTAGCAAAAATAAACATGTTGCTGAAATTGAACTTAGTATCTGAAGTCGTACATGTGATTAAATATATTGAATGTGATCACTCATAATTAAAGACCGGACATTTTCTTTCACAATCCATCTGTTAGACCACAACTCTTTCACCAAGTCTAGACATGAAATTCAGCTAAATATAAGAAACTCGTGACATCATACGTGTAACTGTAGTGCCATATTTTCTAGTCTGTGCTCATGTATATCAACACTTGCGTCTGTGCACATCCCGAACAAGAATACAAGTTGTAACTTAGGAGATGTTGGGGAGAGCTTTTAAAAAAGGGAATGATAGGAGCTGATGTGTTTGCCCACAACTGATGCCAGCCTTAAAACACACTCACTGATAATGTATCCAATTTCCAAGCGCACCACAGGTGGGCTGCATGCCTCCTGCATAATGCATGTCCTGTGCGCAGATGCACAGAGTTTTGTGCTCTGTTCCTTAATGCACAAAGACAGGACCCTAAATGTGTCCATTTGCTTTTAATAAAAGGGAAAATGGCTCACTCCTAAATTTCTTCACCTAGGTAGCTCCATCTAAGTGGTTACTACGGAATTACTGATCTTAACATTGCTCTGCCTTTTAATCCCTTCCAACAGTACGCCATGTGTAAGTGGGATATAACTTGTGATTTTATGTTTTTAAAACTGATGCAGAATACTACACTGCTCAAAAAAAATAAAGGGAACACTTAAACAACACAATGTAACTCCAAGTCAATCACACTCCTGTAAAATCAAACTGTCCACTTAGGAAGCAACACTGATTGACAATCAATTTCACATGCTGTTGTGCAAATGGAATAGACAACAGGTGGAAATTATAGGCAATTAGCAAGACACCCCCAATATAGGAGTGGTTCTGCAGGTGGTGACCACAGACCACTTCTCAGTTCCTATGCTTCCTGGCTGATGTTTTAGTCACTTTTGAATGCTGGCGGTGCTTTCACTCTAGTGGTAGCATGAGACGGAGTCTACAACCCACACAAGTGGCTCAGGTAGTGCAGCTCATCCAGGATGGCACATCAATGCGAGCTGTGGCAAGAAGGTTTGCTGTGTCTGGTACCGAGATGAGATCCTCAGACCCCTTTGTGAGACCATATGCTGGTGCGGTTGGCCCTGGGTTCCTCCTAATGCAAGACAATGCTAGACCTCATGTGGCTGGAGTGTGTCAGCAGTTCCTGCAAGAGGAAGGCATTGATGCTATGGACTGGCCCGCCCGTTCCCCAGACCTGAACCCAATTGAGCACATCTGGGACATCATGTCTCGCTCCATACACCAACGCCACGTTGCACCACAGACTGTCCAGGATTTGGCGGATGCTTTAGTCCAGGTCTGGGAGGAGATCCATCAGAAGACCATCCGCCACCTCATCAGGAGCATGCCCAGGCGTTGTAGGAAGGTCATACAGGCACGTGGAGGCCACACACACTACTGAGCCTCATTTTGACTTGTTTTAAGGACATTACATCAAAGTTGGATCGGCCTGTAGTGTGGTTTTCCACTTTGATTTTGAGTGCGACTCCAAATCCAGACCTCCATGGGTTGATAAATTTGATTTCTATTGATAATTTTTGTGTGATTTTGTTGTCAGGACATTCAACTATGTAAAGAAAGGAGTATTTAATGAGATTATTTCATTCATTCAGATCTAGGATGTGTTATTTTAGTGTTCCCTTTATTTTTTTTGAGCAGTGTATAATAATGATTATCATATCTTTTATCTTTTTCACCATCTTCTGCAGGTCAACGGTACTTATCCGTCCAGCCTCCTTCTTCATCTGGTCCACACCCTTCTGGGCCAGGTTGAGGTAGGCCTGCAAATGATGTCTCATCATAGCGAGCCGGAGCATACACATCAGTATGATGGCCCATAACCGTAACGTATCATACGTCTGCTCAGTCATCCTGATATTAATAGAAAGACAGGAGTGAGTAAGAGAGGGGAGATGATGTAGGGATGACAGCTTTTTTCTGGCCCGCAAACTCAACACATCATGCATCTGCTCTATCATTCGGATGGTAGGCAGAGACAATGAGACAGATAGGAAAGATAATAAGAGCAAAGGAGTCATAAACAACTCAGACGAAAAAGTCAAAGAGGGTGAAATTGAGAGTTAAAAAAGGTGAAAAGGGGGGAATCAGACTTAATCGTGTTTGACCTTGATGGTATCACAGTCACTGACAGCAGCAGAAAAAAAAGTTTGACACATGACAGAATACAAACTTGCAACAAATGAAAGATGTTATCTTAGAATGAATAACCAGCTAACAAATGACAGCAGTTGAGATACAATAAAGAGCATTCCCTGAGGTATGACTCAATTTGTTTACCGTCTAATTTTAACCCAAGTAGACAACGTGTGTGTATTGTCACTTCATCTACGAGCTGAATACATTTGTTATCTCATTGAACTGTTGTAAATTCCATTTTCATAACTGCTCTTGCATTGTTTACATCCATTTTCCAGCACAAAAGGCACAATTACTTTCATTTTTACAGCTTTGCAATGTTGTCCCATCCCTCTTGTTTGAATGGCAGGTAATTAGCTCGCTCGATATCAAGGGAGTCCAACCGGCTTGCCTACCAAGTACAGATCCATCAACAAATGCTGCGAGTACATACACCTTCAGCACACTCATTTTCAAGAAATGTTTAGGCAACCTCACACATGAGCTACAAAGCATTCTACTATTGGCCTCATTGTCCATGCTCAATTGACCCTTCGCTAAGCCATGCCCCCCTTACTTCATGTTGCTAAGGCCGACAAACTGTCGGACCTGTTGGACTTTTATCACAACGCTACCACAGTCTATTACTGCAGTCTCTGGAGAAATATTATCTCATTTTTGGAAAAAGTGATCTCAGAACAGTTTGGCAGTTCCACTGTGCATTTGAAGGTTGTTTTTAGGCTGTCAAACAGACGTCAAAGAAAGAAGCTAAAGCCTACTAATGAAGATCATAGGTACCCATCTCCCGAACATCAGTGATATCTGTGAGGTGAGGTGCCTATGCAGAGCCCAAAGGATACTAAAGGACAGTACCCACCCAGCCACAGCCTGTTCACCCTGCTGCCTTCTGGGAAGAGATATAGAAGTCTTCATATTTATATAAAAAACAGAAAATTTATATAAAAACTGGACATTACTTGGAGAAAAGAAAGAGGGGAGGTTGAACTACTTTGTGAATTCAGAAAACATGTGTCTGTAACTTTATTCCAGATATCATTGTACTTTACTGTGACCAAGTTAGCATAGAATAGCCCTGATCGATCCGAACTTCATTCAGAAAACAAACATTTCAGAAGTCGTTGTCCTGCTGTCTTGCTGACAGACCTGACAAAGCATGAATTCATATGTTTAACAAATCTGCATAATGTTGTAGTTATTTCGCATCAGTTTAATCTGTTTATTGCTATTTAATCACAGCAAAATGTTTACTTTGGGTTCATACAGTTGCAGTAATGGCGAGTTGTGTTTATTCACGTTGTCGCGTTAAAAACGCCTTCTCGTGTTGAGTGTGAACACTTGCAGCGAATGTACTCACACGAGGAAAGCGTCACGAGGAGAAAATTCGCGGTTGGTCTGAATGCTGCATTAGAGTTAGAGTCCCTATGTGTAAAAAAAAAAAGGGCTGGATAGAGTGGGACATGGGGAATCAAAGGAGTAAAATAAGCAAAGGTGAGAGACCTGCCTGTTTTTATTTTCTATTTAACTTTTAAAACTTTATATTTTCCTATGTTGCTTTTATATTTAATGTAAAGCACTTTGAATTACCTTGTTGTTGAAATGTGCTATACAAATAAACTTGCCTTGCCTAATCAAATTGGCAACAGAACTTGCAGTGACCTGTACATCTGGATCAGACATTTAAAAACGACTGTTGGAGCTACTTAATTACTTTTACTTACAAAGGCACACTCTCCTTTCCCAGAGTGGGATTCATTATGTAGTCCTTGGTAATGGGCTTCACCCACAGCAGGACCATGATAAGAGGGGCCAGGAAGTTGATATGAAGCAGAGTCCTGTAGAAAAAGGGAGAAATGAACAGCTGAACCAATAATAATGCTAGATGCTAATAAACATCCAACAGGTTGTCCTCCTTTCCAGCGTCATTTCCAGTGTCTCAGATAACCTTTGATAATTAAAAAAAAAAGTCTGACCACTGAAGGAAACCCAAAGAGTGACTGATAAATATAGGTATAATTGTCGAGAACCATAACCAACTCCAATGTATTTGAGAAAATACAAACAAACAAATAGCTCGCTGAAATCCTCACTTTTTAATCATAATTTGACATTAATATAGTGAAAAATAATCAATGCAACTTTCCCTCAGAGGGGTGAGAAGATAACCAAGGCACAGATTTTGAAGGGCTCGGAGATAATCCCTGCTAGTGACAGGGTCTGAGGATGTAAGCTCATGACAGTTAAGAGCGGGAAAGGAAGAGGAGGCCATTTTGAAGAGTCTGCTATGCCAAAGTGGATTATCTGGATGCGACGTGCTCCCAGCTCTGCACCCCCTATCATGGTCGTAGACATGCTACCCAGTGAGTTCTGAAATAGAAATCTGCCCCAACTGAGGAAGTCTTCATCTGACTCACAGGGTGCCCTATCGTACCCGACACACTGAATAGTAGGAGACAAATATAACTGCAGTATAGTTGGCTGTTTCTTCTTACTCCAAGAGGGGACAGTTTGATACAATTCGAGCACATACTGTATTAATTAAGCCTAGAGCCACAGATACAGCAGACTATTCTAAAGCTTTATTTCCCTATTATCATCAAAAACATGCATGTTCCAATTCACCATTGACTCATTTACATAAGGTGACATGAAAGTTATTTGCTTTCACTTAAAACATCACTGTCGAGAAAATGAGTAAGGATAACAATAGGAAAAAATGACCATTAAGGCAGCTACAAAACATGGTACAACTAGCAAAAGTAAAAAAAAGAAGCATATTTATTTTTTCGTGACCAGCTAGTGATCTTAAAGGTTGTGTTTCAACGACGACTGCCATGACTTTCCACCTTTTACATCCTTATTATTAAGGATAAGAAAGGCATCAAATGTATTCAATGAAAAATACATGAGTGAGCGCAGAAGTGAAGACAATTAATGTAGTGGACTCACTGTGTAAATTTGGCTGTGGTGAGATTGAGTGCATCTAGGTGCATCTGGGCCAATCGTAGACCAGGGAAAGTTAGAAATGCTCCAATCAGGGAGCACAGCAGGGCCAAGATCAGCTTGAAGGTGAGCTTAGATATGGGACCCCTGTGAAAGAGAAAACACATAGTTAAGATACTCCTGTAGTTTCATGAGTCATAAAGAATTCATGAAGGCAGAGAAAACGAAAATGATACTAAGAGAATACTGATTTTGCACTTACTGGGACTCTAAGCCCTGGTGCTCCAGAAACTGTAGAGCACTGTCAGAGAAGTTTGCAAAACCTAAAAATGAAGAAACGTTTGACAGTGACTCACTCACTGGAGCAAACAGTAATAAAATCTGGTTGTTACCAACAGGGTCATTTGTGAGAAACTCACCTGTCTCCAGACCAAACTCCAGGTAGTTTTCAGTGACGATGAGAATGGCCATGGCTTTGACAAAGAAGAAGAAAGCAAAAGTAATGCAGAGTGAACGCTCGCCTCCTTCCTCCAGCTTGAAGTAGTGGGCCGTTAGAGAGAAAAGACTTTTACTGTGAGGACAGTCAAGGAAAACAATCCCCAGGAGAACACTGGCACATAAAACCGACCCAAACTGCGTTGCTCGTTTACTTTCAATGCCTTGAACAGGTTTCGTGTGAATCCTCTACCCCTTAATGCCACACAAACCTTGCTACCCGGCATGTGTGGGCTCATAATGTGTGGGTCTTTGGCACCAGTGCGTGTCATTGCGGTTGTAATAGTATTTTACTCTGCCCCAGTCAACACTGAAAAGCTAAGGACAGAGCATGTTTCTAAAAGCGAACTATGCTCACCACGGAGATTAAACTCTTGGTTTTTGAAACATGCAAAATTTTCACTCCAGTTTAGTCCATTTCAATAATGGTATTCAATCCAATGAAGTCCCCCCCCCCGTTCAGTAATGTGAAGACAGCTGTATAAACACTCACTAGACAAGTCCGAGCCAGCATGAGGCTGAAGAGAGAAATAGTTATGTTTGAGCTATCACGTTGTGGGCTAAAACTAAAATACTGCAGAGCTGGCCTGTCAACATTAGCTAAAGGTGAGGAAATGCAGCCACTTTTATAAATTTCGGTAAACAAGGGGAGGAAGCAAGGTACTATTATCTGCAGATACATGAAGACTTATCGGTGAAGGGTGAGGCAGCAGAGCTGATCTCCAGGCAGAGAGTCTTAAACATATGATCAGAGCTGAAATAGGAAAACTGAAATCAAGTGTTCCATTAACACATATATTGAGCCAACATATTCCCTCATCTTCATCGTCCCATTTCATCTGTTCCCCAGTCTGTCCTTCCCCCCCCCGAGCATGTCAGTCTGTTGGGCTGTGAAAATTGGGCCTCCAATCTCCAACATACGCAGGAAATGACACACCATCTGACCGGGCTCGACCAGGAGCACTGGAAAGATTGATCCCTGTGGTTGGTGGCAAGGATAATGCATATTATTTAACCATCATTCAGCGTAGCAAAATAGCAGGTAGCTGTGGAGCATTAAAAGGTGCTGGCAGTCAAGCTAGGAGCAGCTTTGGCAGTCACTTTAAAGTCCATCTCCACCACTGCTGCATCCACACAATCAAGCTGGAATGATTTGGTCTCTCATAGACAAAGAGATGTAAACCCACAACATATGTAGGACGGAAGTGAGGAACGTAACGTGAAATTAATGGAAATGTGTGAGTACAGAGCAGAGTCCATTGAAAACGCATCCCGCCTACAGACGTAAAGTAAAGCATATAAATGTGTTGCCAATTTAACAGTGACGAGATTTAACACTCCGATATTAAAAAAAACACAGCTAACAAAAGATGTCAAGAGTGACTTATGTAAGGATACATGACAAAAGTGAGTACTAGCAGGCACCAAACCACACTGATGTTCATCTCTCCTGAGGGCTGAGCCACATTATAGTAGAGTTCTGTTATGAGATAGACCACAGTTGCCGCTACAGTGAAATCCACCAGCCACTGGAACTCTGGGAAGTAGTGCAATGCTGGGGGGGGGGATAAAGAATATAATTAAATCAAAATATTCAATAATAAAATACAGCACAGTATATACAGATGTTAAGAGTGTGTTGCTGAAAGGTTACGACTAAACGTTCTTTATTAGACATGTGTTCTGTTATACCTAACGTGTCGACTTCTGTGATGCATTTCGTCTCCAGCTGTAAGTCGATGTCCTTGGGGACGGTTAGCGGCTTACTGTCTATATGACCGTTGTACTTCCTAGGGCGAGAAGAGGAAAGAGCAGCAAAAAACACAACTACGGTCAGGATAATAGAAACAAGCAAATCCAAAATGCAAAAAAAGTAAACCGCATTTTAGACCATTGATATTTTTTTATTCTGTGAAGAGATACAAACTATAAAACACATCACTATGCTGAAATGAGATTCTTTTAGTGGGTTCTGTTCTAGCAGACATCTTTCCTTTTACACAACTGGGTTCCCAAATAGTCATTACAATAGTAAAACCCTCAAATTCACTGTAGCTATGACATCTAAATTTAATAGTTGGCAGAGGTATAGTTACTTTTATTACTACTGAACTCTTCTGGGCCAAGAGGGCCAATACATAGGCAGTGCTAAATCACTAACAGCAGGCGAATGGGGAGCTGTTCTTTAGGCTTGAAGAACTATCTGGTGGGCCTCTGCAGTTCTGGGCTTTGTTTGTTCAGCCCTGTGTGTGCACTGGATTCGCAGGACAATGCCACTGTAAGACTCTTGGGCCAAACATGCCCTGGCCAGATTTCATCTCAGAGGGGCTCAGCTTTACCCCTGACTGAGGGAGTCAGACTGTTAACAAAAGGGAACGGAGCTGCATGGCACGAGCTGGCAAAAGGAAAGCGGCCCATCTTTTTCTTCAAGGGATTACTGAACATGTGGTGCTAGAGAGCCCTGACCTGCCTCATACAGGGTTAGAGAAAGGACTGCACAACAAACCTCTGCCTTAAGTTAGGAGCTGGACACCACGAGGAACAGTAAGGATTAACTTTTAGTTGTGACTTTTAATTTAAATTCATGTTTAAAAAAAGAAAAAAGAAAAAGGAGGGTACAAAAGGAAATGGCACTAAATCCACGTGTTAAACATATGGTTCAACTTTCTTCCAAATCTAATAGTAGTTTATTTTATTTAAAAAAAAAAAAAAATGCAAAGTATGTTTTGAAGGACATCATTTTCCACAATCAAAGCTTGACATCTGACCACTTTGATAGATAATGGCGTTTGGGAAACTTTGATTTGAGAGAGGATGCAATCCTTTTTATCTGTCATCCACTAAAATAGCCTAAATAGTAATGGCTCCCGAAAAAAATAAAAAAAAATAAAAATAAAACCAGGACCAACTTTCTTCACATCCACTAGACAGGGCCACTTCTAAGCAGAGTTGCTCTGAGCCTCGATGAAGAGCCATAAAGGAACAAAACAACAAAAACAGACTTCTGTCTCCTTACTTCAAATGGGCCTTAAATGAGCCACATAAACACATCAGCTTCATCTGTTTGCCGACAAGCCTGTGGTCTCCATCCATCTCAATGTCTGCTTCTCATCTTTTCTTTCCTCTCTGATGAAAGGCGTGCCTTTCGTACCTCCTCTGTGTCACTGCATTTCCCCAACTCCCAAACAATAGCCCCTCTTCATTCCAGCCCACCCTTCCCTTCCTACCTGTCTTTCCTCTTCTGTCCTTTTTGTTTCCCAGCTAAGCTCCTCAACTCATCTTCCGTAGGGTGCTGATACCACCGCAGACTGTGAACAAAGAAAAGGAGAGGGATGTGGAATCAGGTTCAGACATGGACAGAGGAGTAAGAAAAAGGACACAATAAAGCAGATATTTCAAAAGCTGTGGATGAGGGGAAAAAAACCTGACAGACTAAAGCTAGATTTATTGTCCTAATATGTTATTATTAAGACATACCAGCATGAAACACAAGTACAGAAGCATGGAAAGAGTATGTTACATGATTTGGACTAAAGAGATATATTGCATCATCACTGTCTGTTCACTTTCATGGTGTCTTCACGTCAAAATGCTAAGCAAATTTTGTTGAAAATATTCAATTTAGTAAAATCTTTGCACGTATTGCGAGGCTTTGCAGAGAGTAGGGAGGTCCATATAGAGCGGAGGGACAGAGCCGCTGCTCACCAACAGACAGCTGTTGGGAGGCGGGGAAATGCGGATTTATCTTCACTTCCGCTTATCAAATTGTTTGCAACAGCGAGCCGCGGCGATGCCGACAACTGTAATTAGCCTGAAATTAAAAGTTGTTTGCTTGTTGTCTTGTGGACAGACCTACAAGCATGAATTCAGACTTTTTACAAATTGGCATCATGATGTAGTTATTATACTTACTTGCAACGGAAATTCGCATCGCAGTGTTCATACCACATTAAGAGAATTCGCATCTACTCTTTTTGCATTGACTTTGCATGTAAACATGGCGTCTAAAAACTGCTTCGTGTTTGGTGTAAACAGATCATAAATCATAACTCACTTCCTGTTAAAAGCTTAAAATGCATTTGCATCACTCCTTAAAAAACATTAAAAAAAATCAGATTGAAAAATGCTCTTCAAAGCAGTGACATTAAGACTTGATTCTATGAACAGGACAAACAAAAGCCTAAATTTGAAACAACTGAGCTTTATGATTAATTCCCAAACAACAAAACAGACAATTCTCAAAGCTTTACTTTACATCAGTGACTCTGATACACATCTAGAAAGCATTTGTGAGAGGCTTTAAAACAGCAAGGTTATCTCTCCTTAAGGACTGAGCTTGAAATAGAGCATTCTTTTGAAGATTTCAGACATATTCCTTAACTTTAGAAACCTTCTTGTCAGAGCATCTTGAGCAGCACTGAGTGGTAGAGGAGGATAGATGTAGCACAGCTTGTTTTTCCCTTGTACATTTATTTATTATGGAAAATGAATTACAAAATATTCTGGAGGGACACTCCAGGCATTCTGCTTAGGGCAAAAGCAAAAATAAATAAATAAATAAAATGCTTCAACTGTGGCCTGAAAAGAAAAAATAATTAATTATTAAATATGTTCCAAGAAGCTGTTTACTGAAAAACATATGTGGCACTAATTAAAGAAAATGAGGCGGGCACTTTGTTTTTGTGCATCGTCCTCTCGGGTCATCCCAATATTTGAATACCCTTTTGTCTTTGCTATATGATTTAATGATTCTTTTTCTTCTTCTATCCAAACCCTCTGCTGTCTGAGTAAACATTTTGATCCCCATTGTTGTGGACTCTTTATGAAATAAACTTCTCAGAAGGCAAGCACACTGAAGAAATGACACATTTAGAGAAACAATCTGAAACAGCATGTACAGGACTACATTACCTGCCACTGCAGAGTAGCCATCTTGCGAAGGAATAATGAGGTATGATTTTCTGAATTACACTGGCCATTACCATGGTAACCACCAGCTGCACACCGATCACACCCTGTGGAAATAGGACGGGGATTTAAAATCACATTTAAATAGCAATTATACATGCCATAAAACAGTTACACATATGAAATATAGGTTTATATAGACTGATAAAGGCTGAAGCATATCTCCCAACTATATAAGTGTTTCAAATGAATGAAGTCCAAAATCATATTACTGCAAATGATCAATACAATTATTTAAATGTGCCCTCTACAGACAAACTCCTTCATGTTTTTCCAATAGGGACCACAGATTAAATTCAATGGGGCTTCAATGGCGCAGGAAACAGATGCTTATATTGCCAAAGCAAGTGTGAAATGAAAACATGTACATAAACAGAAGATGTTGTCCCAACAAACCTTTCAAGATTGCAGTGCAGAGGGCTAGTGAATAGGCCAACTTGTTATGACAGGCTTTGAATATTTATGATATACCATCTAGCAGCATAAACATGTCCATATGTGGAATTTAGCATAAGCCAAAAGCATAAATGCTGGTAAAGCATCAGATCCCCCATCTTATAGAATTTTTACTTTTAGATGTTTTATTACAGAGAGTATAAAACCCATGACCAAATTTTGGATTTATAGTGAAAATAAATGATTCCCCTTTTCGCTGGGGAGCCCCTGGAACCCTCTCAAGGACCACTGGGGTCCCCGAACCCACCTTTGAGAAACACTGGCCTATGGGTTTTCTGAGGATAATTCCTTGGCAGTATAATCAGTGAGTTAGCTCTTAACTGACAAAAGCAAAACACTACCGCTGTAAGCAAGATGTGATGTCAAAAATCTTGTCATGAAATTTGGAATGAATATTCATTGTCCCCAGAAATGGATATCCTACTGCCTTTCCTATAGCTGTGCTAAATGTGCTAAGCTCGTTAATAAGGATGAATATTTCTGATGCAAGACTACATGGCTCTTTCCTCTAGGTGAGGTGTCTGATTGATAATGCAGCCAATAACAAAAGCATAAGTTAGATGGATTCAACCATTCTACATGAAATGCCACCTTCAAAACATAAATTAGGCAAATAGAGTCCTCAATGAAATTATTCTTTTTCTATTTTACTTAAAGCCACTATTTATATATGACAAATTTGCAACTTGAGACTTCAGAGTTGTACACCCCTCCCAATAACACTGTGGCAATCTTTTAGGCTACCAACATACTTATATTACCTTCCCAAAGGTCTTAACATCATCATTCATGCCTTGATTTGCGTGACTTTAACAGGGTATATACAGAAATCCGGAAGTGAAATTCAATACCTTTTCAACATAACTTAAGACTGCCGTGCCACTTTGAGCTGTAACCGGCTAAGTCAGCCTCATACCTTAAAAAGAGGAATTGTGGAGTTTTTAAAAGGAATTTAAACATATTTATAACATTTTATTGCCTATACGTGACCAGGTTGTAACCTCACCTAAAAATTCAGACATTCACCAACTTTCTCAGTTGCCTAAAACAGTCTGTTTAGGCGTACTGCTTTCTATGTGAAGGACTTGTAGGATTTCCTGTGAAAATCCATTGTCTTACACAGGCTGTGATGTTTATGTGTGCAACATTACTGCAAAACATGTGAAACATTGTGATTTTGTGTTTTAGTTGGTTCAAACTAGATAACGTTAGCTTGCCTGCAAACGCCGTCCAGTTGATAACTACCTGACATAGTTGTAACTTATTTTCAGTAACAAATATGTAAAGTGTATGCTGTTTGTTGCAATCTGAAACCTTACTGCTAGAAGCCACTAAAAACCACACAGCCCACCTTTAACTTACATTTTCTATAAATAGATTTTGAGACTGTAAAACTAAACACTCTTTTTGTGATAACTTTCATCAACCATTGTATCAATACAACATAATTCAAATAGGCCAGAAGGTGCAGAGAATAAACTGAGTGATGGATAATGTTGGTAGTGTAGACAGTGTAGCACAGACATTTGTGATCAACAGCTGCTGTCTGCATCCTAAAGCTGATTTGTGTAAACTTTAGTAAAACAGATGTAAAATAGAACAAGGGGAACATGTTGCTCTCAGGAGGAGGAGGCGGCTAGAAGCAGCACATATTGGCACAATGGCATCCTGGCTCTGGCTAAATCTTTCCACTACAGTGGCTCGATCCACAACCTGGAGGAGGATCTAGTACAAATGAGTGTATTAGTATAATATTATAACATTATATTAAAAGTACAATATAATAGTAAACTTTTAGTTTTATATTAATATGTTAATTATATGTTGTTACTTTATTCATTATAATCTATAGTCTATAATAGTATAGTATATAGCTTACCACTATTATAATATTAATTCCAGTTACAGCCGTTTCATTTTGGGGTTGTTTTTTATTCATTAACTTTGTGCAAGAAAAATATTCTACAGTTAGTTAGTCTCTAACTTTAATTTTAAGTAGGCTACTAACTCATCAATAATAATAATAATAACAACAACAACAATAACAACAACAACAATTTAGGCAGAACGATTAGTTCAACATTTGGAAAGTTTGCTGTAGCACATCAAATGTTTTTTTAAAAATCCTGCTCCATCTAGGCTGTGATTAATCTGTTCACAAAAGTGACGAGCGCAACGGCTTTCTGAAAAGTTGAAAGTGTTTCAATAAAGAGGCACAGATGTAGCTAAATAGCCACCTAACGTTAGCCAAACCAATATGCTGCTTATATTTTCCCTGTTGTCTGCTGTCTTATCGCTTCACCTGCTGACAGCGCATCTTGCTCTTGTTTTTGAGTAACGGGGCTGTTCGCGTGGCCACAGAGCTCATGGTGCGTTCCATTTGACATGGGAAGTCGGAATTTCCGAGTTCCCAGTTGGAACTTCCAACTGGAACGCCCCCAGAAGTAGGATTTCCGACTCGGGAAGTCGGGAGAACCGCACTACCCCGACTTCGTGATCCAAGATGGCTGTCGGGGTATCAACAGTTGGTGAAAGCTGTAGTTTATACTGTTTATTAGCACTTCTGTGTACTTGTGACTCATAAATGTTCGTACACAAAGTGCTGTCCAACAGCTGTCTGTGGACGTGTTGCTACAGTGTTTAGTGTGAATAAATACCGCACAATGTGTTTTTTTAATCAACCGTCGTATCAATAGCTAACCTGGCTAGTTGTAAACAACAGCTGGCCGAGCGAGGTTTTCCGACTTGTTAACTGGAACGCCGTCAACTCGGGTGTGTCGTCATTCCCAGCTCCGACCTCTCACTTCCAAGGTAAATGGAACGCGGCATCAGTCCGACCATGTTTTGAACAATTAGCATTGGGGATTCGGCGTGGTGGAAGGTTATGGTCGGTTGTGCTCGTAGATCAGTTTTCCGGTTCGCATGGATCTATTTTTAGGGGCGTATGAGAGTGAAAGGCTCGCACGGTAGATCCTAGATCCCTGCGCCTAACGTTACACAGAATAACAACTCGCTACATTCTGCCTGTCTAGTAATTTTGGGTATGCAATATAAATAAATATGTTCACCCACACTTTTACCAGACAAACTCTTTGGACAAAAAGGATGTTCACATTGACAAAAATATCTTTAAAATTGAATACCCTTTTAAATGGCGATCAAGACTTTAATACTTTTTAATGGCCTTAATTTTCGCAAAATTGATTTATTACCTTTTAAGACTTTTTAAGACCCCGCGGACACCCTGTTTAAATACTCTACATGACCATGAACTACATGACCATATCCAATGTCCCGAATAACTCATGTGGCATCATGGTAAACAACATGGTATCTTGAAGTGTCTGGGACTTTGAATTGGTTATCAAGAACCAAATTTCCAAGAACCGTAGATTTTTTAAGACAAGTGCATTTCAATTCTGCTTATCGGTTCCTAACTTTTTTCAGTCGCGCTCCCGGTTGAACTGCAGTGAACATTTCACAGTCCAAAAAATTTTCACTTCTCTGCCAGGACCTGCCACACGGACCTAACGTCACATCATCAAGCATGCGAGAAGAGAGTACTTCTGTTTACATCCCTGGAACATGGAGGACCGCTCAAAGGTTTGGCTTAGCTTCACACAAAAAAAAAAAACAAAAAAAAACAGATAACAGCAAAATGCAACACTGGCAGTAAGAATATTTTATGCAAGGGAGGACGCACCTCCAATATGACGAAGTATTTACTTCAACATGGTGTGAATCTGAAGGAATGCACTGTGTTCATGTGTTGCGGCCTCCCACCTACAATGATGCCCCAGATGCAGCTAACGCTAACAGTAGCAACATCTCACACTCAGGTACAGAATACAGGTTAGCTGACATTCACCTTGCATATTTAAGGTAAACGAATGTCTAGAAATTATTCCAATATATATTTTTCTTAGATACAAGTCCCCAGAGACATCCCTCTAATACAGAAAGTCCTTTCACTTTAGCCATGAAGGGGAAGATGAGCAAAGAGAAAGTGGATGAATGTCAACCTCCGGTGACAAGATTTGTGATCAGTAGAATCGGAAATCGTTAAAACTGAAATCATACCTAACCCTACTGGGACTCGCCCCTACTCTACTGAACGTGACAAGACAATCTACAACTTGAGGTGATCAAGATTTGGCAACCAGAAGAGATGCGTCTATACCATTACTACAAGAGATGCACCATGACCGTGACCAGGGCCAATTAGTCTTACATATCCCATTCTGTGCCGGTCAAATTTACACACATGCTACAATGTTTGGTTATTTTATCTATCAACAGTTTCTTGTTGGATGATGCAATTTGAAATTATATATATCTCAAATGCAATGGTAACTATTTTTAAAAATGTGCCCAGGAAAATGAACAGCCAGCACTCCTGTGGTAGTTACCCAAAGATTTAGCAACATAAGGAGCTCAATATCAACACAGCACAGTTGGATCAATATTCACTTAGGCTTAAGAGACCAGAATCATTGCCATCATGTTGCCTTTTTATCCAGTCACTGTAGGGTAAGGTCGTAAACTGTAGGGTAAACTATATCCAATGCCTTTAAGTTAGTGGTCATTTCTTTATTGGCCTTATTCAAAATTGGCCTAAAATTGTACTCTACATTTCTGCAGCGACGCTCCTTTATTCACATATTTTACAAGAAATTGGAATTTGGGCCATACTGAGGATAGTTGAACAGGTTAACCTAATAACAACCCTGCGCATAACACTATAGTATATGTATTTCGGGTGATGGTTAAACCTATGTCAGACTGCAGTAGGTGTAGGAGGTGGAAGTGACTGACACCTAGACAGGAGAGGAAATGATGAGGCCAGACCTATACACTAGACCTAGATTGTGGATTGGTTATGGGTATCCCCAGTGTCACCCAGCATGTGGTAAGCTCCAAAAGCTAAAGTCAATACCTCTTCTGAAGTCACAGAGGGGAGAGTGGGTGCCATTAATTTTGCAATTATACTCACCAAGTTGTGACGCGTGACCAAACATAACCTCTCTGACTCGAGACATTCTCCGTGTGAGTAACGGTCATGCTATATAGGTCAAAAGCACACAGCCTTCGTTTGGTGGATGCTGACCATCCTCTGTGGGGGCCCTGCAAGCATCTCAAGCCTGGGGGAAATTGAGCCAGCATGGACCCTCTTATCTTGCCCAGTCTGCTTGACCCCCTCCACACAACAACCAAATGAAATCTGTATGGGGTGGGGAGTGGGAGCTACAATGATAACCACCATCCATAAGAGCTCAAACACCTCACTATTTTGCCCATAAAACTAACCCTAAAGCACTGAAAGCCTGAATTGGCAATCATCTTGACTACTCTTAGGTGCATTTCAATCTACTATATAAAACTATTGTGTGTTGGACATCTAAAATTACAATGTCTAATAGAAAAAAAATGCAACTGTGGTTAGAGATGGGCCACAGTATATATTGAAATGGGCCTGATACTAATATTGATAATAAGAGACTAGATCCTGGATGTTTGTCATTTATGTGATATATATTGTACAGTAGCCTACATTTATTATTTATCCCCTCCCCTAATATTACAGTATACCATGGGGGTCCTACAATGCGCTGGAAATGTCCATACACCCAATACCTTCTCTGAATGTCCTACCTGTTGGATTTGAAGACTGTTCCTGCCTGGTAATCAGGCTAGTTTCTAAATGTTGTCACTATTCTCCTGTCCCAGCTGCTTTAATAGAGGATAATATTAAGCCGATTGTGGACATCTTGGTTGTATTATGTGAAGAATAAGACAAATCACCTAAATATTCACAAAACAAATCCCAAAAATAAATACACCCCGATTATGTTGGAGCTACCCCAAACTGATACATTACATCCCATCTTTCTGTTGATTTTGTCAGATGTACTTGCCAGTTGTATAGAGATTCAAGACACCAACTGTGTTTTAGAGCGTTATTTGGGGATTACTTGGTGCTATAACAAATTGACTATGATGGTCACAGTCAGAACTGTCCATTCTTTGAATGTATACACACACACACACACAAATGTAATGGCACATGCACACAGGGCAGCTTGCAGTAAACGTCTATGAATTTCCTTCAGTAAATTCACGAGGCAAACATTTATCCTGACAGGTTATAAAACCCTTATATGATTATGTGAACTTAGATGTTACTATCGGAGTGTTGAGCAAATGCTTGTGACATTACGAATAAACTACACCAAATGAGCATTACCACTAAATGATTAACTCCGTTCCTCTGAGGGCATCCTGAGGTCAAACTGAGCAGGCCAGGTAGGTAAACACACCTTGACTTCTACCTAAAGGTATCTTGCTGCCAGCTGAATGACATGCTAACTGTTTGTCGGTATGATTCATACTTGTACATTTAACTTACCTTCAGCATCTGCCCTACACTAGTTAATGCCAGTACTCCCAAACACTATGTGAGTGAACACCACTTAAAACAGTCACCGTTATATACTATTAACATCACAAAACTGCATACAGCGTTCACTGTTAGCTACCGCTGGCTAAATAGCTACACTGACCGGCTACAAGTACCTGCGCTAGCTAGCAAGCTAAGCTAATGGTACAGTGCAATCACCAGAACAAATTGGCTGAAAACATAAATGGGTCAGCAACGTCGCAGTAGACATTCACATGACAGTGTGTGTCATCAATGATTGTTTTATCAATGAAGTGCGGCAAATAAGAGAAAGCGTTGAGTTCAGGTGCTCGCTGTTACACTCACCATGTTGATGCAGTGCAGCTGAAACGGACTCTATTACCCCGACAACACTGAGCACCGCGAGTCGGAAATCAAGCGGCGAGGAGCACATATGCCCTTTTTGCGGTGGTTATACACAAAATGAAGGGGTTTTTTATTCAACTGTCGCCGTAACCTTGCAGAGAGGAGTTACATCGTCAAAAATCAATGGATTCAACCTCCGATCCCAAGTATTTTCAACTGCAGTTTAATGCAGCCTATGGCTGCAGTAGAGGTCACGCTAAAACTCTGGGTAGGAAGGTGTCCTCAAATATGCCTGTACACGGAGAGTAAATTACGATGATTTAATTATTCTCACTCCCACAAATAAAAAAACAAACTATGGATATAATACCGTAAACAGGAATGTATGCTATTTAATTTAAATATTTGACTTAAAAATTACATATACTTTGTCATTTTGTACAGGATTAGGCAAGACCACTATAAGCATGTATTATGACAGCGACAACCGGAAGAGAGTAAACAGTCACCACCACACATGACAGATCGGTACCTGCATCAGATGTCTGGTACTGTGGACATAGAGTCGTTGAAGTAGAGTGACACAAATTACACTTTCTCAGTTTCTGCTTTTGTTGATCTGCTTCTCGGGAATGTGATGATTACTGAGCGCATTCACTGTACTTTCTGGCTGTATCAAGCGAATCAAGCATTGTAGTACTAGTAGGCTGCCTCTACCTTAGTTAAAGTGACCGCGAGATGCATGGCCCACAGGGCCTTTTTTTGTGACATTGTTTAGAAATATAAACTACGGTATGGGAAGACAGAGACGCTATAGATAATTAAACATGCAGCAGGCCCAAGTAACTAACTGAAACCCTTCAGAGAGACTCAAATGCATCTTATCTTAATACACGTGGTCATAGAAAATCAACAGAAACGACAAAGATGTTGCTTTTAGTAAGTATTTTAACATCCATGATCATAGTGCAGAGTAGTTATTGCATGAGCTTTCAATGACTTTTTACTTTACTTACAATTTACATGAAGCGTCATCCTAATAATGCACATAGGTTACATTGTTTTAATGAACAATGACATTCAGAAAAACAAGAGCAGTTTGTTTTTCCTTTTTTCCTACATAGATCTCCACCACTAGTGATGTTTTACATTGTGCTCCTACTTGTAAATGAAATAGTTACTATATTGGTTTTGCAGAATCCAGTCAATTGCATTTGCATGCAAAATGTCTGGAATTTATCTGGAGTTTTATGAATTACACATAGGGCTGTCTACATAATTTACATAATTAATTACTGAATACGTTGTTAATTAAATTATATAAATGAATCCATAAAATACTTTTGATTGTTAATTACACTTTAGCATATTGCTTATACTTTCATATAATCACCTGACCTTTTTAAAGCAGTACTTAGAGTGTACTTCCTATGAAGAATTTTCTATCAAGTAAACACTTGAGAGTATGAGGGGGAGTATTTTCTCCACCATTTTAAATTAGATTTGGTCTGTATCATAATTGACTGAGATGGGAAATGAGTGGCGATCCCAGTCGAATAACCCAGAGGGAGGATCTGTAAAGTTTATCAACAATTTACTGTAACTCTCCTGATGAATTGAGTAAAAGTTTATTTATTAAGAGTTTATTTTCCTCTGCTTTTAGCTTTGGAAGAGAGTTGTTATTCTTAACGTGCTTACGTATTTAGGAGAAAATAAGGTAAATCAAGTGGCAAGATGTAATAGCATTAACAAAATAATAAGAATAACATGCTCTGCATTCCCCCGCGACCCTGTACACAGGATAATCGGTTGGCGATGGGTGGATGGATGGTTGCTCTGCATTCTGTTTATAGCAGGTTTCAGAAACAATCAAATGCTGGACACTCAAACACAAGAGAACACATGTTCTTGCAATTGTTGTTGCAACTGTACATGGAGTGGCATGTACATCAACATAAGGGCTAGGCTGTATTTGCACATGCGCATGTGTTGGCTAAGGCCTCCTCTCTTATTGCAGCGGTATTTACCCCACCCCCTTGATGCATCTCACCAGCCCCTCATGGCATAGATACTGCAGGAGTGGGCTTCCATACTGTCTCAATCTACTCTCTTGCACATTTCCCCTGTTAAAAAAAAACATTCTGCCCTGAGGACCTAAGCAGTCTCTCTAAAGATTGCTGTTTAATAATGGTGATGTCAGCAATGAATGCAATTAAGTTAAAACGATGCAGTAATTCACATGACAAAATAAAAATGACATCACATGAAGGTATTACGATTTTTAAAACAGGAACCTTAATAAACAATGGTAGCTCTAGAGAGACACAGACAAGGTTTTATTTCAATATCTGGGTTATTCCATACATTTCACGCTGATTTCCTTTTAATTTATAATTGAAGGGAGTCTCATACTGTACATTTTCCTCGTTGTATTCCATATCACACTCAGCACTATTACTACTGCTGTTTGAACTCAATTCTCTCTGGAGCTTGTTTTTTTTTCTTTTCTTATTCAGTGTTGTCTGTTCTTTTTAGTCAGGCTTGTTATTTTTAGATGAAACATAATAGCCAGGATCTTCAGTGTACTGTGAGAGTTTCATACCCCTTCCTAGTGTTTAATCCATATGACATCTCCTCCGTGCCTACTGGTTCCTTTGAGTTTCAACTCACAAGCCTTACAATATAAATAAAGATGATGAGAATATTACAGTAAAAATCTCAGCCTAGTCAATCAAATAGACTCATTGTTCAATGTCACAATTCATTTTTAATGGCAGGGTTTTTTGTGTGTGTGTGCTGGTGAGCATTATACATCGTTTCCTTCTTTTATTAATCAAACAACAGTTTGAAATGTGTGTCACTGATCTCAGCAGTATACCTCGAAGCAGAGGAGGAAAATAGAACAAAAATCCATGTCAACTCCTCACCAGTAAGACTGAAATTGGTTTAGAATGTAATTCTCTTTGGTGCAGCGCCTCCTTCTCCATTCTCTGTAATCTACAAGAATGCAAATTACAATGCAAATGCAAATACTACTGAATAATTTATGTGTAGCGTAGCGTTCCTTTACAGAAACCAGGAGCTTTTTGCTTAAATAGAGTAATGTGGCATTCGGAGCACACACCACAGAAATATACCATAGAAATACACTGTGTAAAATTTAGTTTAACAATTTAGTGAAGGCTTTGCATACAAGGATTAAATATCTAAGATGCACAATCTCCATTTCTGAATTATATTATCTAAAATGCCGTACTCTACTGTGTGTTAACTGCATTGCTAAATGTTGGACAACGTCGAGCTCTGTTGCATCAAACAGACATTTCTTTGTCTTACTTGTTAAAACATACATTTCATTTTATATCCCTGATTGCTCTTCGGTGTTGATGTGTAATTTGGCCCACTCTGGCCTGATGAAACGGCAATATCAAACAAATTTTTTCTTGAAGTTGCTGCACGTTATTGCCAACCTTAGTTTAATTATTTTTCCAAAATTCATTTATTGTCATGTTCACTGCAGCCGACAGATAAAAACCTCCAGCATACTTGTCAATCAAAACCTCTGTTGACACTAGAACCCCTTCTCAGATACTATACAGTGCTTTTGCCTCCAACACAGCAACTAGGCCTTTCACTGTCCCTCATTCAATACATCAATCTAATTTTTGCAAATTAACTTGAAGCATGTACAGAATGTCTTTGCATTTTATTTGGAGGATGGTAAAACATTACACCTATTACAATTAATGGCATTCATATCTACTTGAACACATACATTTTGTTGGGGGGGGGGGGCGGGGGGTTGTGTAGAAGAAAAAAAGCTTCTGTTTCTATCTTAACACGTGGCTGTGTTCAGGCTTCTCCCTCAGCGGTTTTTCCATCAGGGATTGTAATTAAGCAAAAGCATTCATGAGTGGGCATGCTCATTTAGACTGTGTCTAGGTTTAGACAGCTTTAGAGGGATGAAAGAACAAATCCTGGTGGAACAAGGCAATATATGCTATGGCTAAAGTGAAAAAATTGCAGACAGAATAACAACTACTCCAAAACTTTGTATGCATGTTGTTTTAGTATCTCTTTTGTCATGGGAAGTGCATATCTTTTCAGTTGTTGATGTGTTTTACTTTACACTGTAAAGTGCAAATTAAGTTATCCATACATTCTGAAATATTTTTATATTTTTACTTGTGTAAACAGAATAAACAGAGTGACAGCACCAAGATCAAGGTGAGAGTCAACATAATACTACTACTAATAATAATAATAATAACAAACAAAATTGTTGACATTGGTGCTTTTTATTAAAGTAACATAAAATCAGTTTTACAGACTGACAATTTTACACAACAATGCCATTTCATGCATTCATTTGAATATAAAATTGTTATGGAAATGTAATTAATTTGATGCTCTGTATGATGACTCAATAATAAAATGTCAATATGATATCATAATTATGTTCTGGACTTTTCTCTTTGTAAACCATGAGATTAATCTATTAATCTATCTATCTCTTTTTGGGTCTCCCCTTAATTGTTCCAGGGTTTTGATATTTCATGCTCAAAGTAAGCTACCAGGCCTTGTTAAGATATAATAATAATATTTTTTTCTAAATGTGACATTGAAACTGTGATGGTCTATATTAACACAACATTGACATAGGGCACAGTGGCATTTGCTTGGCATAACGGCAGAGTTACCACCTGTCTAAAATCCACTAAATCAGTCAATTGTTTTAGTGTTACATTGGGTGTCGCCATGGCTCGTTTTGCTGTATTTTGTTGTTTCACTGTATATTTAATTTCCTGCTCAAAAACTCTATCGTCTGTTGGAGTCACAGGAAGACATTGGGTTTCACCAAGCACTCCAGAGCGCCATTGCAGCACCAGAAAATATTAATGCAGATTCCCCCCCCTTCAATTGACGACTGATTTATATCAGAATTAGGCTACAGTGTGTATGTGTGTGCACATACAGCAACAGACACACTGAGAAATAAAGGCAGAGCTAGAGAGAGAGAGAGAGAGAGAGAGAGAGAGAGAGAGAAGCTCATTATAATCAGGCAATTATGCTGGCAGAATTAGAAGCGTCCTTATTTTCTCTTGTGGCAGCCTGAGTGTGGAGACGGTTTTTTAAGTGACTGCAGACTAATCCATGGATGTGACTGACTATCCTGTGTTAATATGGAGCATCTGTAGTCGTGTATGACAACAAAATTTGGAAGTGAAAGCCTGTGATTTTGGCTTTTTG